CTTGATTCCCATCCCAACAGAGGTAACCAATGTCTGTGTCTTCAAATTTAACTGAACATCTCTGTGTTTGATTAGAAATAATGTCAAAATTGCACCCAGTGTCATTAATGACTAACAATTGCAGGTTATGGACCGTGCTTGGAAAGATAATTTTCACCAACCCGATGCTGTGTGGACAAAAAAAGCTATTCAGAAGGTGGACAAGAAGTACTTAAAAAAGAAAAAGAGAAAAAAAAACTTCATAAGCAAGAAGTGAAACTTTTTAGATCAAGAATCTTTTTTGCGATTGGTTCCTGTTTCTAGATAGGTAGAGATCACCTATCTAGACACAGGACGCAGAAAATGAGAGAACAAGCAGGCTTGCTGTGAGGCCTCTAAATCTGATTGCACCTTCCAGTATATACAAATAATGTTAAAAAATATATTACAATGCCATTAATAGCCAACCAACAATTGCAAGTTACGGACCGTGCTTGGAAAGACAATCTGTGCCAAACCAGACGCTGACTGGACAAGAAAAGCAATTGAGAAGGTGGACAGGGAGAATTCGCAAAAGGGATTCACAAGTGACATGATGCCAACAGGATCCACACCAGCAACATCCACTGCATCCCCCAAACCTGAAATGTATGGATGGGTATAAAACAATAAAAATCAAGTAACCTGAATGTTTTTAAATTTTCTTCATAAATTAAATAACAAATAAAGAATTTAACCCTCCAAGCAAAGAGACGGTCCAGGAAAAGGTTCTTGAAAACTAAGTGAGAAAGAAAAAAAATAGGCCTTTCATTCACTGTGTGGTCTTTCTTCAGGGTAAAAATTTATGGGACTTTGTCTGTGTGACTTTTTCAGCCTATAGACCTGTAAAAAGCTGTTGTGTCTCGTGGTCCAAAACCAAAATCCCACTTCGTCAAATTGTGAATTATGCCATTCAGTCTGAAGATACTTGTCCAGGAAAAGTTTCTTAAAAACTAAGAGAGTGCATATTGAACTTGCAAATGTTAAAAAATGAACATGTTAGAAAACGAATCCTTTTAGATGAGAAGCGAAACTTCTTCATTTAACTGCAGTACAGTCGCCCTCTTTTCAAGTTCTTATGACTACCATGACCTAGATGACCGAGAACGGACTCCGACAACGTAACACTAGGTGTAACTGAGAGGGAAGAATTTTGCTATAAATATTAACTTTTAATTTATAGGGGAAGTGAAACGTTTTAGACAAAAAACTCTTTGTGGGAATGTCATTGGCCTAGAAAAGCAACTATTACTGAAGATGAAGTCCAGCCTGGTTGTAACCACTCTTCTCTGCTTCACCACCTGGATGAGCTTGGCCTTTGCCAGTGAGTATTGCAAGGAAAGAAAAAAAAAGGCTTTTCATTCACTGTGTGGTTTTTCTTCAGGGTAAAAATTAATGTGACTTTGTCTGTGTGACTTTTTCAGGACCCGGAGAAAGCTGTTGTGTATCATGGTCCAAAACCAGAGTCCCACTTGACCGAATTGTGAATTATGCCATTCAGTCTGAAGATGCTTGTCGCATCAAAGCAGTACGGTAAGTGTTAATAAAATCTCACACTGTATTTTAACTTGTATTTTAGGAAAGATTTTTTTTGTAAAAATAAAACACGTGCGGCATGAAGATTCTGGGTTCAAAGCTGTTGGCCAGCTGGGGTCTTTTCTAGATGTTTGTTTCACCAGTCCAAAGACAGGCCTGAGTAACTAGTCATTCTAAATTGACATCAGGTACATGTGAATGACTGTATGCGGTCCTGTGATGGACCGGCGACCTGTCCAGGGTCCACTTTGCCTCTCGCCTTGGGCTGACTTTGGGCGAGAGTACTCTTCCCAAACCTGAAATGTATGGATGGGTATAAAATAATAAAAATCAAATAACCTGAATGTTTTTAAATTGTCTTCATAAATGATATAACAAATAAATAATTTAACCCTCTAAGCAAAGAGATGGTCCAGGAAAAGTTTCTTAAAAACTGAGTGCATATTGAACTGTTAGAAAAAGAATCCTTTTAGATGAGAAGCGAAACTTCTTCATTTAACTGCAGTACAGTCGCCCTCTTTTCAAGTTCTTATGACTACCATGACCTAGATGACCGAGAACGGACTCCGACAACGTAACACTAGGTGTAACTGAGAGGGAAGAATTTTGCTATAAATATTAACTTTTAATTTATAGGGGAAGTGAAACGTTTTAGACAAAAAACTCTTTGTGGGAATGTCATTGGCCTAGAAAAGCAACTATTACCGGTAATATTATTGAGAGTCAGGAGAAACCAGAGCACAGAGAGAACATGCAAACTCCACACAGACCGTGCCCAGATTTGAACTCAGAGCCGCCACACAGTGAGGCAACAGAGCCAACCAGCCTCTCTTTCTTTAAACTTAACATGTACCAAATATGCCAGAATATATTTAGAAATAATGTCAAAACTGTATTTCAGTGCAATTAATGACTGACTAACAATTACAGGTTACGGACTGTGCTTGGAAAGACAATATGCACCGATCCCAATGCTGACTGGACAATAAAAGCAATGGAGTGGGTGGACAAGAAGAAAGCACCAACAACATCCACAACAACAACATCCACACCAACAACATCCACAACAACAAAGAAAGCACCAACAACATCCACTGCATCCCCAACATCAGGAAACATCAGTCAGAAGGACAAGGAGACAGGGCAGAGCCTGACTATGTTATGTCAAATACACTGCTGTGTAGTTCCATGGACTAAGACCATGTTGTGTCCCACTAACTAGCTAAGCAGCAGCAACAGTAAGTGACATTACACCAGCAGCGTTAAAAACACACACACTTAAAGACTGGCAGATTGGGGAAAGAATACAGGGAAAAAAACAAGAGAGGGAAAAAGGGCAAAGACATGAAACGACTTCAAAGTTGCCATAATCAGCAAATGTTGTTCTGTTTAGTTAAACCCATCATGGTATGTGTATAAATACAGGTTTTAATTCTACACTGTCTTCTTATTCATGCTTCTCTGTTTTGTAAACATTTTTTCTGTAGTCTTCGTATGCATTGCCCTGACCTCTTCTACTATATACATCACAGTAGTCACTCACTTATTTCCTTTTTCAGATTCACCCACCATCTATTTCTTTGTCATTTTAAAATGAGACAATTACATTATTGGTCTCCATGACTGGTTGTGAAATGCTGCCTTTATGCTCTAGGACTGGCATGTGCTGCCTCCTGCACACACTATTGATGCCTACTCTTTCCTGTATACTACTTCCTTCCTTCCTGCTCTCCAATACAGCTTTTACCCTTTCTTCTGGTTTGTTCTACTGTGGTATGAAATAAAACTGCCTGCAGTCTCTCTCACGAGCAGCTGTGAGGGACGCCACTCATGTTTGTACTTATTCTGAAAATAAAAGAAACACGTATTTAACCCAGAAATATACCCAGAAACTTTGTTTTGTTTATTTGTGGGAATTTATTCTAATGTAACTCCAAGCTGTGACACATCTTCAGATGTTCTAACAATATGTTGACATGATTATAGTTCATAGTAGTTTACAAAGGGGACAATATCATTGTCCTCTTAAATCCTCTGCATTTCCAGTGTTGAATTACGAGTCCTGTTCTGCTCGTGACTGTGAGGATTTGGTTGATGTTTAAAGTCAGTTTCCCAGGATTCCACATGCTAAAACTGCTGATTTCACGATTTAACTGTTAATTTAAAAGAAGGAAATTAAGCTTAATGGTCCTGCGATGTTAGTCACTACACACCCATACAATTGCGAGAAAGAGCCAAAAATAAATGTAACCTCTTGTATGGGTATAGCATATGTGTAAAGGGCTACTGACGAAGGCGTAGCTGAGAACCACCCTTTCATGTATGATTCTGTGGTTGACAGCAGGATGAAAGAGGTGACTTAATTCTCTCATAGATGTTTTAGATAAGAATTAATCAAATTCAAACACTCACTGAATTCAATTCACTAATTGACTGTGTGAAATCCCCACTTTCCTAATTAACATTCAGTATTAATTCACGCTCAAATTCAATGTTTCTTTAAGCTAGCAAACTTTTCAAACTCGTAGTGACAGTGGAGGCAATTGTGGCTTTCAGAGTGAGCACAAAGGGAAGTGATGAGTATCTCTCTGTGTGTACAAGTAACTATGCTTATGTGTGTTTGTATTTCTATACGCTGCTGTTTGTGTTGCATTGTGGGCAGGTCTGTGGTGAAAGGACTGTTTGTCATTTTTAGCTTGTAACAGATGAAGTCAATATTTCCTTTCCCCACTATGTGGCCATAGTGACTATCCCCCCATGATGAAAGGTCTGGGTGGGGTAGGGGAGTAGCAGAGGGGCTTATGTTTTATAAGAGGCGAGATCAAAAATTTAATGCTCAGAATGACTGAGAGAACTTCACAAGCTGGAAACGTCATATACCCAACGCCTGCTGCGTGAGCAACACTGCTTTGATTCGACACTCCGTTATCTGATCAGAAAGGAGTAAGATTACTTAGCAGGCTGTAAAGGTTTCCACTGACAGAATCAAGACTCAACTTCTGAAGAGCAAACCCAAAGCGCAATACTGAAGATGAAGTCCAGCCTGGTTGTAACCACTCTTCTCTGCTTCACCACCTGGATGAGCTTGGCCTTTGCCAGTGAGTATTGCAAGGAAAGAAAAAAAAAGGCTTTTCATTCACTGTGTGGTTTTTCTTCAGGGTAAAAATTAATGTGACTTTGTCTGTGTGACTTTTTCAGGACCCGGAGAAAGCTGTTGTGTATCATGGTCCAAAACCAGAGTCCCACTTGACCGAATTGTGAATTATGCCATTCAGTCTGAAGATGCTTGTCGCATCAAAGCAGTACGGTAAGTGTTAATAAAATCTCACACTGTATTTTAACTTGTATTTTAGGAAAGATTTTTTTTGTAAAAATAAAACACGTGCGGCATGAAGATTCTGGGTTCAAAGCTGTTGGCCAGCTGGGGTCTTTTCTAGATGTTTGTTTCACCAGTCCAAAGACAGGCCTGAGTAACTAGTCATTCTAAATTGACATCAGGTGTAAATGTACATGTGAATGACTGTATGCGGTCCTGTGATGGACCGGCGACCTGTCCAGGGTCCACTTTGCCTCTCGCCTTAGGCTGACTTTGGGCGAGAGTACTCTTCCCAAACCTGAAATGTATGGATGGGTATAAAATAATAAAAATCAAATAACCTGAATGTTTTTAAATTGTCTTCATAAATGATATAACAAATAAATAATTTAACCCTCTAAGCAAAGAGATGGTCCAGGAAAAGTTTCTTAAAAACTGAGTGCATATTGAACTGTTAGAAAAAGAATCCTTTTAGATGAGAAGCGAAACTTCTTCATTTAACTGCAGTACAGTCGCCCTCTTTTCAAGTTCTTATGACTACCATGACCTAGATGACCGAGAACGGACTCCGACAACGTAACACTAGGTGTAACTGAGAGGGAAGAATTTTGCTATAAATATTAACTTTTAATTTATAGGGGAAGTGAAACGTTTTAGACAAAAAACTCTTTGTGGGAATGTCATTGGCCTAGAAAAGCAACTATTACCGGTAATATTATTGAGAGTCAGGAGAAACCAGAGCACAGAGAGAACATGCAAACTCCACACAGACCGTGCCCAGATTTGAACTCAGAGCCGCCACACAGTGAGGCAACAGAGCCAACCAGCCTCTCTTTCTTTAAACTTAACATGTACCAAATATGCCAGAATATATTTAGAAATAATGTCAAAACTGTATTTCAGTGCAATTAATGACTGACTAACAATTACAGGTTACGGACCATGCTTGGAAAGACAATATGCGCCAATCCCAATGCTGCCTGGACAATAGAAGCAATGGAGTGGGTGGACAAGAAGAAAGCACCAACAACATCCACAACAACAACATCCACACCAACAACATCCACAACAACAACATCTACACCAACAACATCCACAACAACAACATCCAAACCAGCATCCACACCAGAAGCATCCTCACTATCAACATCCACACCAACAACATTAGCACCAACAACATCTACATCAACATCCACATCAACAACATCCGCACCAACAACATCCACAACAACAACATCCACACCAGCATCCACACCAGAAGCATCCTCACTATCAACATCCGCACCAACAACATCCGCAAAAACAACATCCACATCAACAACATCCGCACCAACAACATCCACACCAACAACATACAAACCAGCATCCACACCAGAAGCATCCTCACTCTCAACATCTGCACCAACAACATCCACATCAGCAACATCCACAACAACAACATCTACAACAACAACATCCACACCAACAACATCTGCACCAAGAACATCCACAAAAACAACATCCACTAAAACAACATCCACAACAACAACATCCACAACAACAACATCTACAACAACAACATCCACACCAACAACATCCACAACAACAGCATCCGCACCAACAGCATCCGCACCAACAGCATCCGCACCAACAGCATCCGCACCAACAACATCTACACCAACAGCATCCGCACCAACAGCATCCGCACCAACAGCATCTACAAAAACAACATCCACAACAACAACATCCACAACAACAACATCCACAACAACAACATCCACAACTAAAACATCTACAACAACAAAATCCTCACTATCAACAACATCCACACCACCAGCATCCGCACCAACAACATCCACAACAACAACATCCACAACAACAACAACATCCACAACAACAACAACATCCACAACAACAACAACATCCACAAAATCAAAAAATATCTCTCTGACGAAGTGCAGAAGAAGGAAAGGACAGAGGAAAAAGCCATGAGAGGGAACAAGAAACGATGTGTTTGAGAAATCACAAAACATTTCAAACTTATCATAGTCGGCAAATGTTGCTCTTTTTTATTGTACTCTTCCTGCTTTATTTCATCAACAGTACCTGATAAAAGTAACATTAATCTCTCTATATATTACCATATATCACCATTCTTTGTTTTCATATTGTTTTTATGAAAATGTACAAAAATGTATTTTAAAGTTTTCCCACTTTTAACTGCCAATAAAGCACTTTCCAGCAAATATTGTGTTTTTGTCATAATCAGTTAAAACAGGATTTAATTAGAATTATTCATACTCTGGTCGCTGTCGTTGCTCGTACCTTTAACTGCACACTAACCTCTAATGTTTGTCAAATGAGGAAACTCTGCTTTCTGAACCTACTCACTCTTTATTTACTATAATAAAGTGATTTTAATTTAACCCAATCTCTCTCATTTTAAAAACTGACTCGATTACATCATCAGTTTGCCTAGTGATGTAATCATTAGTATCAGTCTGCTAAAACTTCTCAGACTGATGCTTTTCAAATTCAATCACTCACTGATCTTAACTCACTTTCTCACCGAGAAAACTTTCCACGGTTTAAATTACCACGCCACATGCCACCTAAAATGCAGGTCACCTGTGGCTTTCAGATTGAATATAAAGGAAGTGGATTAATCTGTTTCTGTGCATGCACATAGTTACGATTATTTATGAGTTTGTATTTCTGATGCTTTTGTACTTGTTGCATTGTTAACAGTTTAATTATAAATGATGAACTCAGTGGTTTTTTACCCCATTGTGTTGGTAAAATGAGAACGAGCGCAAAGGGGCCTTTTTTTTTTTATTAGAATCAACATCAAAACCTGATTGCTCAGAAAGACCACACTAGGAAATACCATGAACGCATGCACTGCGTCTGCCATGTGAGCAAGACTCATTTGATTCGATACTCTGATAAAAGCTCAGGGAGGCACAGAGATTATTTAACAGGCTGTGAAGGTTTGTGCCGACAGCTTTGAGGCTCAGCTTCTGAAGAACAAACCTAAAGCGGAATACTAAAGATGCAGCCCAGCCTGGTTTTAGCCGCTTTTCTCTGTTTCACTACCTGGATGAGCTCAGTCCGTACAAGTGAGTACTGCAAGGAAGAAATTATTTTTCATTTACTTTATAGCTTGACTGTTTTTAAGGGATAAAATTAATGCGACTTTTTCTGTGTGTGACATTTTCAGCCCCTATAAGCATACGCAGTTGTTGTGTCGTGTGGTCCAAAACCAGAGTCCCACTTGACCGAATTGTGAATTACTCCATTCAGACTGAAGATACTTGTCGCATCAAAGCAGTACAGTAAGTGTTCAATAAAAAACCTCACACTGCATTTTAACTTGTATTTTATGAATATAAACACATGCAGCATGAAGGTTCTGGGTTGAGTTTTTTTATATTCCACATTGCTTCAAAAACCATACTTGTTCAATTAAAAATGACTATAAACTTACAGTAAGTGCAGATGTGAGAGGGAATGGATGCCCGTCTCTTTCTGTGTTAACTCTGGGATGATCAGCTGACATCTGACACTGTGCTTTCCGTTTAGTCAGCTGGGACAGACTTTAACCTCACTGTCTTCACCGCTTAAAAAAAGGAATAGATATAATTTAATAAAGTTTATACACTCCATCCAACTATTTTAAAATAACATTAAAATGACAAATAAATGACCTATAATATAAAAACACATTTTCCTGTGGTGATATCCAGTCATTCTGAGAGGTTTGGTTCTACATGTTTGACTATTCAAATACAGTGTCTGTCTTTGATTTTCACCACTATACCAATTAAATTGGCCAGTTGGGACTTTAGTAGTCATGTCATTCCTAACGATCCAAAAACCTGTCAGCAGTTCTCACTGAAACCTCTTTGTACTGGAGGAAATTCTTTGAAAACATGTTCACAGGAAGGCCTTCGAGTTTCAGAAACCACTCTGTAAAGAGATGCTGCAGGGGAAAATATTTGATAAGCAAATTTACTGTGTACTGAGAATGGAGATGTTCAATACAAGCTAATTGCATGCCACTAGATGCAATAGAGGTGCAATTTTTTTTTATTAACTTTTAAAAGCAAGAAGTGAAGCATTTGAGAATCAAGACTCTCTTTTGTAAGAGTGTCCTGGGTCTAGATAGGTGCCGACCACCTATCTAGACCCAGGACCCACAACATGAGAGAACATGCAGGCTTGCTGTGAGGCCTCTAAATCTGTTTGCACCTACCAGTATATACAAATAATGTTAGAAATGTATTACAATGCCATTAATAGCCAACCAAAAATTGCAGGTTACGGACCGTGCTTGGAAAGACAATCTGTGCCAAACCAGACGCTGACTGGACAAGAAAAGCAATTGAGAAGGTGGACAGGGAGAATTCGCAAAAGGGATTCACAAGTGACACGACCCCAACAGGATCCACTCCAGCAACATCCACTCCAGCAACATCCACACCAGCAACATCCACTGCACCCCCAACATCAGAGGAGATCCCTCAAAAGAATGTCACTTTGGGAGAGGACACGCAGGATGGAGGAACAAGGAGCAGTGAAAATGTGTCTGAGAAATCCCCCCCAAATTAAAGCTTACTAAAATCAGTGCCACTCTACTTAGCTTTACCGCTCTTGCTATATTTCATCATTAAAGTTAAAAAAAGGAATACTATAGCTACATAGTATAATATAATATATAAATATATATAAATATAAATGTCAGTTTGTCATGTTTCATTGTCATAAATATGTTTGTTTTAAAAAAAGTATATATTTGAAGCTTTCCCACAATCAATTAAAGTTACTTTTAAGCAAATGTTGCGTTTGTTGTAAAATATGAAAAATGTGGGTGAGGACTGTTCCTGGGAACTCTTGTTCTTACTAAGTCTCACTGGTTTTGTACAAAAATGGAAATAACCAATGTGCAGGAAGGAAGCCAATATAGAAATGCAGCTAAACACTGATAGCAATCTGGAGATGTGCATCATTTACATCATTAGGGCATGGTAAACAGACTTGTGCCAGCTGTCAAACAAACCTTGCACCAATAACCTGTACTAAAAGTTGAGTGATAGTTTCAATGCCAGTCTAGGGGTTAAGGGAAGGTGGTATGTGTGGTTTTGATCTTTATCACTTTGCCTTTGCCAATACCCTCAAAGCAGCTCTACTAAGGAGTCTCTTCACTTTTCTTTTCAATTGTTGCTATAATTTTGCCAGACAATAACATCACCCAACAGTGCAGTGTGCTAACAATTAACAACCAACTAACCAGATGTTAAACCAGCTAGCACGTCTCTGTATCCTCCAACATGCTGCTCAACCAATCAAACGACAACATGCTTAGAGTAGTACCACTCAAAACTATGCTGCTAATCGCTGTCCTAATCACTTAAGCTAACTCAGTTGCCTCACCTTCATAACTGCCAAAGTGCAGTGTAAAACCTAAAATTATAACTGATATTTCTTTTACTGTAGTTATAGGTAAAGAGGAACATTTTTATTAACTGACCAATGCGTTTCAGCTTGTGGCCTTCATCAGGGTCATGATGGGTCAGGATGGTGAGGAATACCCTGATGACGCATTGGTCAGTTAATAAAGTTGTTCCCTCAGCAACTTTTAAGTGTTGCTGGAGTGCCTGCATTGTTAGTTTCTCATCCTTTCCATGCACCTTGGAAGTAGGTGAAGTTGTTGCTATCCTTTCACTGTAGCTCTAAAATTAATATGCAATGACGTTATATATTTCCATTATGGAGATTGCATGGTAATTTTAAAGAAAATTGGACATCACATGGTCTGGCTTAACAGCTTGTTCTGATATAAAGCTGACTTTTGCCTAAAATAGCAGAGAGGCTCACGTACCGTGTTAGTATCAGGGTGTAAAAGCTGCAGTGTTTTTTCTTTCTATTTTAATGCACAAGTCAGGTTCATGCAAACAGTCTACTTGTTATGGGTGTGCAGAAGAACAGACACATCTCTGACTGATCACCATGATAACTGGTGACATTTGCTACTCACGTACATTCAAAAATTCTAGATAAGCTAATGTTATAGATAGTAATTGCATTTGAGAATTATCAATTTCGCAATCTGTATGGGTTTTTTTCTTTATTTGTGACGCACATAAAATGCCACAAAAACACCTTGTGGTGCACAGAAACCTAAAATACAAGTACATATTATAAGATGTAAATAGGCATTATATTAGTTGTATATTATATGTTAACATGTAACTTTTTCCCCTAATGACTGTTTGTTAATGGAAGACTAGTTTTTTCCATGAGTAAGAACAAAATGAGATAGAAAATTCAGAGTAGGTGTTGTTGCTTTCAGCATGAGCATAAAGGTTTTAAAAGTTTAATTGTGCTGGGGCAATTTTTTTTTAATATAGGTCATATTCCTGCAATATTTTTGCATTTATGTTTCAGGGTCGAGTTTGGTTTTCTCTGAAACTGGGGGCCTGTGATACCACGCTAACCACCACATCCTG